CTATCATTATTCTGAATTCTTTTTCTGGAAGGTTGCCTATCTCCACTCCATTTAGTTGTTTTTCTGGGGTTTTATCTTGTTTCTTCATCTGGTTCATAGTCCTCTGCCTTTTCATTTTGTCTATCTTTCTGTGAATGTGGTTTTTGTTCCACAGGCTGCAGGATTGTAGTTCTTCTTGCTTCTGCTGTCTGCCCTCTGGTGGATGAGGCTATTTAAGAGGCTTGTGCAAGTTTCCTGATGGGAGGGACTGGTGGTGGGTAGAGGCGACCTTTGCTCTGGTGGGCAGAGCTCAGTAAAACTTTAATCCATTTGACTGCTGATGGGTGGGGCTGGGTACCCTCCATGTTGGTTGTTTGGCCTGAGGCAACCGAACACTGGAGCCTACCTGGGCTCTTTGGTGGGGCTAATGGCAGACTCTGGGAGGGCTCACACCAAGGAGTACTTCCCAGAACTTCCGCTGCCAGTGTCCTTGTCCCCACAGTGAGACACAGCCACTGCCTGCCTCTGCCAGAGACCCTCCAATACTAGCAGGTAGGTCTGATTCAGTCTCCTATGGGGTCACTGCTCCTTCCCCTGGGTCCCAATGAGCACACTACTTTGTGTGTGCCCTCCAAGAGTGGAGTCTGTTTCCCCCAGTCCTGTCGAAGTCCTGCAATCAAATCCCACTAGCCTTCAAAGTTTGATTCTCTAGGAATTCCTCCTCCTGTTGCCAGACTCCGAGGTTGGGAAGGCTGACATGGGGCTCAGAACCTTCACGCCAGTGGGTGGACTTCTGTGGTATAAGGGTTCTCCAGTCTGTGAGTAACCCACCCAGCAGTTATGGGATTTGATTTTACTGTGACTGCGCCCCTCCTACCATCTCATTGTGGCTTCTCCTTTGTCTTTGGATGTGGGGTATCTTTTTTGGTGAGTGCCAGTGTCTTCCTGTCAATGATTGTCCTGCAGCTAGTTGTGATTCTGGTGTTCTCGCAAGCAGAAATTATATTTCTAATTGCAGTTAAAATATACCTGCAGAATTATTTTGGGTAATACTAACTGGGTAACATTAATAGTAATATAATGTGAAGTTAGTATTTTAACTTGACAAATTAAATAAACTAGTTTGGGTTTCAACAATGTGTGGGGGAGAAGATAAAAAGTAAATATCTAATAAACATGCTAAGTATATCATAACACTAAAAACTGAATTCTAACTGCATGTATATTGTATGAAGCATGTGACACAGATAATGCACTGCATCAGGACCAAAAGTTTCATCAGTAGGATATGCCAGAAATTTTACAGATAAACACGAGCATTTTATAGTCCTTTTGAAGTCCATTCACTGCATACAGACCTAAGCAATATCATGGACAGTTGCTTTGAATTCCTAATCTATGAAACTGAAAAGTTAAGAAATTCTCATTAACAAGTCAGTAAATATAGTGGGCCTCAGAAAATGTAAGATACATTAAAGCACTTTTGCTATATAATCACAGCAATAATTTGAAGTTTATATTACATTTTTAGGCCAAGAGGCCCACAACTCCTGGTTTTACAAGCATTCTTTGAAATAAATAAATGTCATTTCACAGAGAGAAAAAAATACACAAGCAGTGACCTGCACAACATTTATATAAACATCTGTTTGTTTCAGTTTCAACAAAGGAATTTGTATTAACCACCAGTTGTGATTATGTGTACCAACCTTAAAATGCAAAAGAAAGCCATAAACAAGGCCCCATTAGCAGTCAGAAATGAAGCAGATTGTAGGATCTCAGGGAGCAGTTTGTGTAAATAATAATCTAATTTTCGTTTCCGGAGAATTGCTGCAATCTGGAAAAAAAGAATTAAAAAAGGCTCTTTTGTTTAATATAACCAACTTTTCCCACTTAAGTTAGTTCTTATGTGGAAGATACTGAAATAACAGCATGTATTTAAAAATTAAAGTAAAAACTCTAGTATTTTACTGGCTCCTCTATGAAAATTCAATTTCTGGGACAGAAGACACTTTAATTTATTGAAAGTGTAATGGGTAAAATAAACACCTAGAAATTACAACATGGATCATATGATAAATAACCCCCAAACATTGAAGTAAATATTTATAATGCCTTAAAAAGTTTTAAACTGGGGCTACCCTGGTGGCACAGTGGTTAAGAATCTGCCTGCCAATGCAGGGTACACGGGTTCGAGCCCTGGTCCGGGAAGATCCCACAGGCCGCGGAGCAACTAAGCCCGTGCACCACAACTACTGAGCCTGCACTCTAGAGCCCGTGAGCCACAACTACGGAGCCCATGTGCCACAACTACTGAAGCCCATGTGCCACAACTACTGAGCCCATGTGCCTGGAGCCCATGCTCCGCAACAAGAGAAGCCACCACAGTGCGAAGCCCGCACATGGCAAGGAAGAGTAGCCCCCACTCGCAGCAACTAGAGAAAGCCCACGCGCAGCAACAAAGACGCAACGCAGCCAAATAAAAAATTTTTTAAAAGTTTTATACTGAAAAATAAAATATATGTTTAAATGGAAAAACTAAAGTCCAATCAAACAAAAATTGAATGCTAAAACAAAACTACATTACAGATACTATCAGCCTGGATATTAGAAATTTTCAATGATAAAAACCAGAGAAATTCATTCATTCAGTTTCACTGAGAAGGGGATATGAGCTAGATTAGGAAGAACAGTATAATTCTCACAGGTGACCAGGAAGAAATGCTTTTCTATCATGATGAAACAATATATCAAAGGAACAAAAGTTAAGGGGGCAGAATTAGGGAATGAGGGAGGGAATGTAAGAAATGGCAAGACTGACTTGAGAAAAGGAAGACCAGAGAACTCTGCATTCACTTTTCACCATTCTAGACATAACAGCTTCCCTATGGTCAGGGATCAACAAATCTAATGGCCTCTTCTCAGTTCTTTTCTTACTCTACCACTTAGAAGCCTCTGATAATTTCCTACTTCATTCAATTAAACAAGCTGTTATTAAGAACTATGTCATACACAGGAAAAACAACAATGAATAAGATCTAATCCTTGCCTTCAAGGAACATAAAAACTTGATAGGGAAATAGATATATAAACAATAAACTACAATAAGGCAGTGTGGTAAATGCTATACTAGAAGAAGGAGAAACTGCTACAGAAATACATATTAGGGAATAACCAAAAAGGAGATGGGCCTGGACAGGTAATAATGCCCAGAAGATGGATCTTGACAAATAGGTAAAACTTTGACAAAAGAGAAGTTTCTATGGTTTCTGTGACTTCATTGTTTTCATTCTCCCATGATATCTTTAAGTGCTATTCCTTTGTTAGCATTTCTTCCTCAGATCTCTACTCATTCTATATACAATCTCTCCCACAGCATCATCTATCATGTCAAGGTAGGAATTCCAATATAACCCCTTCTATTTTTTTTTTTTCATATTTGGCTGCATTGGGTCTTCGTTGTTGCACACAGGCTTTCGCTAGGTGCAGCGAGCGGGGGCTACTCTTTGTGTGGTACACAGGCTTCTCATTGCTGTGACTTCTCGTTGCGGAGCACAGGCTCTATGTGCACAGCCTTCAGTAGTTGCAGCACGTGGGCTCAGCAGTTGCGGCACGTGGGCCCTAGAGTACACAGGCTTCAGTAGTTGTGGGCTCAGTAGTTGTTGCTCACGGGCTCTAGAGCACAGGCTCAGTAGCTGTGGCACACAGGCTTAGCTGCTCCAGGCATGTGGCATCTTCCCAGGCCAGGGATCAAACCCATGTCCCCTGGATTGGCAGGCAGATTCCTAACCACTGCACCACCAGGGAAGTCCCTCCCCTAAATTCTTAATGCATACTTCAAATGTCTATTGGACATGTCAATAAAGACATAGCACAGACATCAAAAAAAAAAGAATGTCCAAAGTAGAACTTATTATACTTCCCCAAAATGCTTTTATTTCTGATTTTCTAACCTCAAGTAATAGTACCACATCCACCCAATTACTTAGAAACAAAATGTTGGTGTCATTTTCAATTACTCCCTGGATCCTCAATCATCTCCTCAGTTCTAACGGTCTCCTAGTATCTTCAGGTTTTAGAATGTAATGTCTCTTTCATTTTAGACTCAACAATGGGCAGAATATGGTACTCTGTTATATATTCAAGTAGTTACAGAAAAAAAATCTCCTCTGTTCCTGGAAAGGAAAAAAAAAACTGTCCCTATTTGCAGATAACCTGATTGTCTACACAGAAATTCCCAAGCAAGTTACATACAGACACACACACACCTCCTAGAACTCATAATGCAGTTTAGCAAAGGCAAAGGATATAAGATAAACATACAAAAGTTATTTGTATTTCTATATAAAAAAAATGAATACATGGACACCAAAATTAAAAATATAATAGAATTTATAACTCCTCAAAAAACGAAATACTTAGGGAAAAATCTACAACACTTGTATATGACTTGTATACTAAAAGACACACAATGCTGATGGAAGAAATCAAAGAACAGATTAATAAATGTTCATAGATAGGAAGACTCAATATGGTAAAGATGTCAATTTTCCCCCAAAGCAAAATACAGGTTTAACACAATTTCTATTACGATTCCAGAAAAGGTTTTGTAGATGTAGACAAGATTATACTGAAATTTATATAGAAAAGCAAAGGAACTATAAAAGCTAAAACAACTTTGAAAAAGTGAAAAAAATGGGAGGAATGAGTCTACCCAATTTCAAGACTTATTACATAGCTACAGCAATCAGGTTTTGTGATGTTGGCAAAAGGATAGACAAATAGATTAATGAAATAGAATAGAGAACCTAGATATACATCAACACAAATATATCCAACTGACTTTTGACAAGGTACAATGGCAATTCCATAGAGGAAAAATAGCTATTTCAACAAATGGCTGGAGCAAATAGATATCCACAGGCAAAAAAAAAAAAAAAAAAATTAACCTCAGCCAAAGTCTCACAGTTTATACACACTTTATACAAAAATTAATTCAAAACGTATCAGAGACATAAATCTAAAACATAAAACTCCAAAACTTTTAGGGGAAAAAAAAAACAGGGAAAATCTTAGGGATCTAAGGCTAGGCAAAAGCACAATTCATAAAAGGAAAAATTATAAATTACACTTCAGAATTAAAACTTTTTCTCTGTGAAAGACCTGTTAGGAATAAAAACCCTAGCTACAGAATGGGAAAAAATACTTGTAAACTACACAGTCAGCAAATGACTAGTATCTAGAATGAAGGAAATCTCAAAACTCAACAGTAAAAAAATGAGCAATCCAATTAGAAAATACAAATGAAATGAACAGATATTTCACCGAAGAGAATATGCAAATGGAAGATAAGCATATTAGCCATTAAGGAAAAGCAAATTAAAACCACAATGAGCTATCACCACAGAACTGCCAGAATGATTAAATTTAAAAATACTGGAAACACCAAATGCTGACAAGGATACGGAGAAGCTGGATCTCTCATGCATTTGTTGGGGGAAATGTGAAATGGCAAAAGCATTCTGAAAAAGTTTGACAGTTTCTATAAAAACTAAACAAGCAACTATCATATGCCCCAGCAATTGCAGTCCCAGATGTTTATCCTAGAAAAATGAAAACGTACGTTCACCCAAAATTCGTGCACAAATGTTTATAGCAGCTTTGTTTGTAATCGTCAATAAATGGAAACAACTCCTATGTCCTTTAAGAGATGAATGGTTTAAAAAACCGAGGTGTATCCATACCATGGAATACCATTTAGCAATAAACAGGAACAAGCTAGTGATACCTGATACAATACTCATGAATTTCCAGAGAATTATGCTGAATGAAAAAAGCCAATCCCAAAAGACTACATACTATACTATTCCATTTACATAACACATAAAATGACAAATTTATAGAAATAAAGAATAAATTAATGGTGACCAGGGGTTAAGAGGAGGTGGGTAGGTGGGAGGGGTGGTATTGCTATAAAAGGGCACAAGGGATCCTTGTGTTGATGGAAATGTCCTGTATATTGACTATATCAATGGCAATTATTTTGGTTGTGATATTTTACTATCATTTAGCAGGATGATACCACTGGGAGAAACCAGATAAAGAGCACAGGGAATCTATTATTTCTTACAACTGCATAAGAATCTACAATTATCCCAAAATTAAAAGTTCAATTAAAGAAAAAACGCAGTCATCAACATAGCCAATGGGCATATGAAATATGCTTAGCATCACTAGTATTCAGAAAACTGCACAATAAAATATCACACACACCAGAATGTCTAAAACAAGGAGAAATGACAATGCAAAGCACTGTCAGGAATGAAGTAACTAGAACTTCACACATTGCTGGTGGGAATGTAAAACTGCATACTTACTTCAGAAAACTGTTATTATCTAATGAAACTAAATGTACACTTACCCTATGATCCAGCAGTTTCACTCCTAGGTATATATCCAAGAGAAATAACTGCTTATTTCCATCAAAAGTCACATTCATAACACTATCTGTAATTACAAATACTGCAAAACACCTAAATGTCCATTAACAGTAAGGTAGATAAATTGTACATATTTGCAGTATTGGTAAATCATACTGTACAGTCTACTGTAAGAAACAGGGAAAATCTGACACAACACATGAGAAGTAACCTAAGACCTTATTCACACTGTGCTGTAACCCAGAGCTTCCAACCAGGGTTTACAAGTGGCCAAAAGACTGATCCTCTCAACAGTCTGGGTAGCCAGGCCAGGACTAGGGTAACAGAGCAAGGTGATAATCATCTCTGTTTTCCCTAGAGTGCCACACAATTATTATCATTTTCTATGTACATCACA